AACAATCCCTTTCTACTGCATGAAAAACAGACACATAAATCAGGACACGTGAGACCGAAATAAACACTTAATCTGCGTTTGTTAAATGCACATGACCCATTTCCGCGGCAACAAAAAGATGCATGACTTGCCTGCTGACTGGTCAGGTCTATCCATAGTGAAAATATGCAAATGAAGGATATTCTGCATAAATATACACCACAAGTACATACTTAAAAGCTGTATAATGAAAAAAAGGGTTTTTTCAACATCCTTTTCAACTGGTTAGGTCAGCATCCACACTGAAGGAAAAGGGTGAACCAGAGAGCTAAAAAAAAAAAAAAAAAAAAAGAAAGAGAAAAAAACCAACACAGATATACACCTACACATTTTCCGATTGAATGGTCCTTCAGAAAGCGCTCGTGGCGATGGAAGTTGAGCAACATGAGTTCAGGTTCCGATTTTACTTTTGTGAAAGTTGTGAGAAAGGTATTTGGTAAAAAAAGTAACCTTAAAACCTTGACTTTTTCTTCTTTTACGTCACGTGCAAATTCACATTCAGTTGTGTCGTCCACAGTGCACGGCTTAAGGCTCGACAAATCTTTCCAAAACAACACGCCGGCAAATAGAGATTGTCACAAATTAAAGAACAGAAATAAAACACTTTGACTTTAAAACATACTGTACAATAAAAAACAGTTTTCAGACTTCATGATACAGCTCTCCTTGACAGAGTTCACACAAGATGAAATAATTTAAAAATTTAACACAAGGTGACATGAGCAATGTTTTCTCCTGTGTTCAGTTTTAGGGCAGTCTGGTTTGGGCCTCGAAGGATGAACGTTGCAGCCAGACAGAGGCAAAGAGAATGTCCTCGTTTTGTCCACTGAGGGCCACCGTCCTGAATCACCTAATCACCTAACCTAAGGGCACTGCCAGTAGTTTCTTTAGTAGCGTGGCTCATCCATCTCTTCGTCACTCCAGTCAGGGGGTGCATCTGTTCCAAAGTATCGATCCCCGAAGTTTCCTACAAGGATGGAAAAAAAAAAGGAATTAAATCTACTTTTAAAAAATCCTTTAATACAATAGTGAATACAATGCAATGACATTTACTGCATTCTAATTTTCTTAGAGGTGCTATTTCTGTTTTCTCACCTATTCCGGGTATGATGTGAAACAGATCGTTGACCTTCTTGTCAACAGCTGTGGTGATGATTTTGACCTGTGGGAATGCGTAGGCCACCGAATGGACTCCCATTTCAGCCATGAGCAAAGAAACCAACAGGATCTTGTCCTCCTGAACGTCGTGATCCTGAAAACGGAGACACTCCCGTGAAAAACGTGGAATGGAATTTCACTGCAGGCAAAGTGCATTTGAGAACAATCGGTTGCACCCACCAGTAAGACTCGTACAGCCATCATGGCGGCTGCTCCGGTGGACACAGTGCAGTCCATCAGAATCACGTGATCTTCGCTGATGTCTTTTGGTAGACGCAGGTAATGAAGCTGAAAATGGACGAAGGCAGGATGTGGGTTAACACCAAAGTGTGACATACAAGTCCTGTAGCTACATTTTGACATTGTTAAGACTTCCCCCAAACTGCCAGTTTTTCTCGAAAGGACAGATAAACAGGATGTATGATGAAAAAAACAAGGCCAAACTATACAAAGCTCATGTGGGAGATATTAATAAAAATGTGTCAATACATGTATAACCTCATGTTTCGAGACTCTGAGAATATGTGCAGGACAGCAACAATAACATTGCTTCACACAGAGGAAAGTTCTGCATTCATATGCCATTAATTCAGTTCTGTACCTCTGGCTCTCCTGTGTCCTGGTTGGTCTGGATGAGGATCTTGCCGATGCGAACGTCTTTGCAGACAGCCCTCAGGGCCGGCTCCATGGTCTCCCCGGCTCGAAGGATGGACACGCCTGTGATATGGAGAAAACAAAGAGAACAAAAAAGAATTAAACAGAGGTTAATTGCATCAGTTTAGGTTGAGACAAAATTCTTCTGAATGGTTTTTAACATTAAGAAAAAAAAAGCACGGAGAAGACGGCAGGAAGTAAATGGAGTTCACTCACCCTCTTCCCATGGAAAGTCCTGCCTTCATAATCCTCTCCCTGGGGGGTCTGAACTATGTGGACCTGAGATAATATTAAAAATCATAACAGTGTGAGCACAGTGCTGTAAAGTACAATAGAAGTGAGGAAAATATATTGTGACCAGCTACACTGAATTACAAGCTGTCAGTCACGTGTGTTTGCCTAATGCACACGCTGTCTTATGATTTAGGTACGGGAACTTTCCATTGTGGTGACTTGCTACGTTTCCATGCTCATGTTGCAGGCAAATACAGTCTGTGTATGTCTACCTGATGTGTCCTTTCAGCAAATGCAAGCACTTACACTTTTTCCATTCATCTTTATCTTTTCATACCCATTTCAAGGCTGCATGCTGTATTGTCTCGCTGTGTCTTGTCAGCATCTGTCTACTCATTGGTTATCTCCTCTTTTCTGTCTCCCGTCTTCCTCCATCTGCACCCAGCTATCTAATGGCTTAGAGTCAATGTTCTATTTAATACAAAGAACTGCAAACCCTTCATGCAGTGCTCTAAATGAATTCACAGTGAATCTTAGTATTTGGAACCTGTGAGGGGAGAAAGGACAGGGCTCGCTCGATCAACAGACGCATCAACCTCTTGGAGTAGAAGATGAACTCATCGCGGCTGGTTTCCTTATTTCTAGACGTGACCATCAGGAGAGTAAAAAATAAAAAGATGCAAGATTTATGCAGCAGCTTTACACCACACAGGGGCTTTTAATGGAAACAGATGTAGTAGTTCATGGAACAAAAGAGGTTTCTCAGCTTTTACCTGATGATGGTGTGCATGCCCCTGACTTGGGGTGTGCTCTCCAGAACGCTGAGGGTTTGGGGGAGGGGTTGGGCCTGGTGCGCTGAAGCCAGGGCTGCCCTGTAACCACGGCAACAAATAGCAGTGCGGGGGTGGCACAGGGTGAGAGTAGCGGAAAGAGGAAAGATGGACAGACGCATAAATACGACACATAAGAATACGAGCGTAATTAAGACTTGTCTGCCTGTGTACAGTATGTGCAGGTTCACACACAGGCGTGCACACACGGTCTGTATGCACACTTAAACACACACACACACACAAACGCAGACGTGTTCGTACATGCACAAAAACATGAATCATTTTTCAATAGTAGTTAGAGCAAAGTTGATAATGGTAGTGTAACCGCTGTAATAGGATTGCTTAGGGAGAAGGCAGACACACAAATTGCAGAGCACACAGGGCCAGTGTTGAGTATTTCAGTGGAAAATTACAACAGCACAGAGACCATGATAATGGAAAAGGAGGTCAAGAATTAAAATGGATCAAATTTAAAAATTAACATCGTACAGATTTGAAATAAACCATTTCACTGTCTCAAATAAATAAATGCACAATGGTTTATATTTTCCATGATGGGTCTCTACTTGTAATAATTCACCAGGCTTCTACAAACACTATAAATATTAGTTTTGAATATCTAGTTAGCCTAAGTCTAACTTGGAACTCTAGAGTAATAGACACGCTGTTACAAATACTCAGTGATGCCACTACAGTATCCACAATGTCACTGAGATACACATTAGCCAGATGCAAAGAAAAGAAAAATCATAGCAAATCTGCTCACATATCCCAGCGAAGTTTCCTCTATGGGGGGAGAGTTTTCGACGAAACAATCACAACACAGGGGACACAGAAAGACGAAAAAAAAAAAAACAACAACAGATAAGAGGAGGAAAAATGAGAAGAGACACAACATCAGGTGGATGAAGGGATGAAGGGATTCTCAGACACAGTGAAAAGTGTGACAGCTGACACTTGCAAATGTCAAACGTATCAGAAATACGCTTACCACTGAAGTGAAGTGCCATTTTAAGTAAAATAATATTTTAGGGGGGTATCACTTAGTGTATGTGTCATGATACTGAGAAGAGCTCAAGTAAAAGGTCATGCTTTAAAAGATTTTTACTAGGGCAAGAAAAAAAAAAAAGAAAGAGGGCCATCAAGTTTTTGGATCGGATTTTGATATCTATACACGTGCATCCATTGTGTGTACGCGTGGGAGGTGCACAAGCTATCGTGTGGCTGTCACTCTTTCACCGTGTAGAACAGCAGAGGTTGGTATTTCAGCTCACAGGCCCCAGCACATCCTGTGTCTAAAGACAGACACCAAGCTCACTTCCTCTCTCTCTCTGTCTTAGATACTGTGGCCGACATTCAATGGAAAAACTCAGCGCTTTGTAGTAGGGTACTGGAAACTTTCTCTGTGGCTGAGGTATGTGATAGTCAACAATAGCTGTAGCAAGAGCTTCCTCTCTCTCGCTTTCTGTTAAAGTCTGTCTCTGTCTCTCATTCTTGTTGCTGCTAAAAGGAGGGGTCAGTGACTTGACTCATTGGTGTATTTTTAGACACAGAAGGCAGGAAGAGTGTGAGTTGTCATTTCTTCAAAAGGTAGCGAGAGGGAAAACCAACATCTTTACATTAAAATGCTGGCTGCACCACACCGCTTTCAAACTTTTGAGCTTTCAAACGTTTCATGCAGTCGTCATTTTTTGCATTCATTCAAATGCTGGTGTGGACCAAGGCTGTACACTGTTGTCTCAGACTCTTGATGACAGATCACCAATTAGCCCTATCTGGTTTACAGATGCAAGAGTGCCGCCTTGTGACATGTCACGGCAGCCAGCAGATCAGTGTTTGGTAGAGGTTGGTTTTGCTGGACCTTTTTTTTTTTTTTTTCTCTCCCTCCCAGTAAGAAGCTGCAGCAGTGGGTGTACTGGGCAGATGTTGAGGAGAGAATGATAGACAGGATAAAGGCCACTCTACCTGACGCTGAGCTCGCGCTGTGAGCCATGGAGGGATTTGGGGTGGAGGGGAGTGGGGGGGGGAGAGAGTGAGAGAGCAGTCCATCAGCAGCATGTGTGTTACTCTGTGTGAGTGTGTGTGTGTGTGTGTGTGTGTAGGTGTGTGTGTGTGTGTGTATATATATAGTGGGGATGAAACAAAGCAAACCGCACTGTGGCACAAAGTGCTCCCCACGGGCAAAAATGTGCCTTTGGTGATCAGTGATTAGTGCATGTTGTACAACCAAACCCAAAGTGACGTGCCATGAATCAATGTTATGAACTATGGAGAGAGGACTTCTTTTAGGGCTGCGCAACTAATCAGATTAAAAGAATAATTTTTTTTTTTTTGCAGTTCTTTTTTACGCCTGTAAATATACACAAATATAGCATTTACTCATTATACAACTACTTTGCAGGTTGCCAAGCAGGTACAGGACTCTGACGTAGTGTTTGTCCTAAAAGTGAAGCCACAATACTTTACATTCAGACTCATCATCAGATAAGGATTGTAATGTATACATTCATATGTGAATGTATAATACTGTAAGGGTTTGAATTTAACATTTAAAGTGGGCTAAGATTATGAGTCATACTTTTTACTTCTTTTAGTCATGTACTTTTATAATGTTAACCTGTAATCTCAAATGGAACTTGAGCTTAACTTAAAATCTACTTAGTTTATTTCAAATGTTAAACAAGAGTGACTTGTCTAATTTGTAACAACCCTTTGAGCCAATCACTGCAATCAAGTGTTTTCTGTAACTCTCAATCAGACTTCTGCACCTGTTGACAGGTGTTTTGATTTTGGCCCACTGCTCATCAGCAAAGTGCTCTGATTTGTCTGGCACAGTTTTTAAAAAATTATTCTTTTCAACCATGACTCAAAAGCAATGTCTTATTTCACATTATAATTTAGATTTTTTTTTAAACATTTATTATAATTTTTTTTTCAGTTTCTAGTTGTTTGAGTGACTATTGTGAATTTTGCCTTTTCTTTCATGGAAGGGTATGAAAACATTTGAGGACGACTGAACTTATTCAGCCTCCCTAAATCCTGTGCAGTGAGTTTTCTTTCCACTAGAGGGAGTGATGTAGCTTGTGATTACAGGCAGAAAACAGAAGGGCTGCTCACAACGCTAAGTGCGATTACTGAGGTGTACTGAGAATCCAATTAAAAAATAGCACCATGAAGAAAGAATGAAGGGCCACGGAGCTCTACAATACATGCTTGTCATTTGAAAATTGCGTGACAGGTTTTCAACACGTGAGCGTGTTTGTATGTGTTGTGAGTGTGATGGCGCGTACCTCCTCCAGCTGACTGTGAACATGCTGCACAATCAAATCGATTGCCACCATGTTGCCACCACCTGACAGGATGACAAACAGAAAATCAGAGTAATGTTAATTAGGTATCATGGGAGCTTGACAACATACTGTGACTTCTTTACGAGCAGCAATGTAATAAATACAAGTTAAAAAACAGACACGAGTGCAGCAGCTGTACAGCTGCATGGTATATTGAAATTAAAACACTTGATCCTTTTTTTCATGTTACTGCTGTTATGTCATAGGATTTGTTATGCAACACTGAAAATGTACATATGCAAATATGTTAGTATGCACGCACCCCGTGGCACCACAATATCCGCCAGGCGCATGGTGGGCTCAATGTACTGCTCAAAGGCTGGCTTGACAAACTTGTTGTACTGTTTGATGACACCCTCAATATCTCGGCCCCTTTCTGAAATGTCCCTCCTCAATCGACGCACCAAACGGATGTCAGAGTCTGTGTCCACAAAGATCTTCATGTCCAGCAGCTGGTGAGAAAACATGAAACAGGGGGAAAAGCATTTTAAAAAATAAAATACACATTCACACAAAGATGGCATGAGATAAATGCTAAGCTAAATATACATTTTTACCTCTACTTTTAGTGTCTTTGTAGGTTTCTTTTAAAGTGTACCAGCATCATTTATTATATTTATTCTAAAATTTAAGTTTACAGTGCTCTAACCTCGTATTTCATTCATCTCAACAGCCACATTACACAATATGCCTTGAAATAAATGCAAAAATGATGACTGGAAATGGCAATTTAGCTGTTAAAATACAGTTTTCTCCTAAAATAAATTATCCCATTGGAGCTGGAATTGTGTGGTGCCTCTTCATTATCTATCATAATCTATTCCATTTACTTTTGTGAGCCAGTATCTCATTGCAACAGGTAAATATTTCACCAACTTGTGTCCTTAGGATTTAAGCCAATGGGTCTTTCTTTCATCCTACAAACTGCAGTTATATTCACATGCAGAGTGTGACTTGTAGATGAAAAAGCATCAAATAGTAGGCTATAATTATTGAAAATATTAAATAAGTGACATTTTACAGTTGATAAACTTGTCAGTGCTCTCTGGTGGACAAACTGTGATGCACGAATTGTTACGAAATCACTTTAATCATAGCTTTGGCTTTTCTGTGTTTCTATATCTCTGCGCTTATCAACTAACATATATACATACAGAATTGAATTTGTGTATTTTTAAAACAGGGATTATATAAATGTGTGTGTGTTCGTGTGAGTGTGTTAGAATTTTTAAAAATGATTTATGTTCTTACAATAAGGTGGAAAACTATAAACCACAGCTACAGATAACAGTAACCCTGACAACAGCCCCTTCCACTGACCAGCTAAACATGTGAGAGGACAATAACCTTTCTATACCTGCAAGAGCTCTTTATCTGCAAAGGACATGATCCCCTCAAAGATGATAACACTGGCTCCATACACGGTTTTCTGTGGTGGACACAAGTGCAATTAATATTAGAGTAAAATATACACACAAACACGTGATTACATTGCAACAGTCATCATCATCACTCATAAGCAACAGGTGCCACTGATGAGTGAAAATCTCAGTGTAGTAAACGGATATTCGAAAATACAGTCAAGCAGACAGAAATCACAATAGTAGTCTGTCAGAGACCATCTGGAGATATGCAGATTTGCAATGTGACTAAACCTCTAGAGAGGGAGATTAAAACCCTCTTAGGTAATCGAGAAACTGAGATTATTTGGCGTAACTCTACCGTGCTACTCATTAACTTAAAAATACATCACCACGTGTCTGGATGTGTGCCTTCATCCTTACCCACTCCTTCTGTCTCCCATGAGTTGTGAAGTCATACACAGGGATTTTCACGCTCTTCCCCTGTTTGAGTTTGCGTAGGGTGTGTGTCAGCAAGTCAAAGTCAAAGGCATCAGGGTGGTCGAAGTTGTAGTCGTTACTGGCAGCACGGATCTGCTGGTCTTGGGACAGGACCTGAGGATCGCCACAATGTTAATGTTGATGAATGCTTAAATAATTAATGACGTAGCAGCAATGTTGCCACAACAGTGTTGTTTTTCAGCACATGATTTCCTGAACAAAATACTTTCTCTGTCTCATGCTCTGGCTTTTGCTTTGACACACACATTAACATTTGCATGTCAAAACATAAATAAATAAAATAAAGTAAAAGCAGCAGCATTATATAAATGCATTGCAGTGCAGCAAATGTACATGCTCAAGTATCGGCACATAATTTACAGATACTGTTGCAAAACAACTGTACGCTGCACAGATCACTGTTCAAGAGCTGTTGAAGTTAGGGGACCTAAATTTAGGAGAACATCATGCGCCACTGTGACGTCTGTACCAGGTGGTGTGTGTGTGCCCTAAGGGTGGTCAAGCATTAAAACTCCAGACCTGGTATTTGGCAGTTTGTGAGCAGCAACGCCCCCTTCTCAAGTGAACTGATTACATGCTTAACACGATAAACCGACGTTACAGGCTCTGCGTGGACTGTGAGTGACCCCAACAGAGGAAACTGAGATATCAATATAAAAAATTAAATATGAAATGTTAAAAAATGCAGAGCCCTGCTCATGCAGTGAGCACACTGCCCCTTGCTGAAGGCTACAGTAGCGCTGGTCACTGGTAAATCCCTCCTACTCTGCACAGTCTGAACCACCGCTGTCAGATTTTGACAGGATTACGCAACCAGTGAGTAGGTGGAGGCATAGAGGGGCAAGAATGATTGCTCTTGCTCGATTGCTCTCCAGCACTCTTTTTCTGTCCCCAATTCACTCATCACTGTGCCTCATTTTAAACACATGTGCTTTCTTATATTTTATCCTTCCCATCTCTTTTCTGTCCAGTCACTCCTCTTATCCTCAATTTCCCCCTGGGATCCGAAGGGAATCTTATTTTCTCTCTTTCACTCTGTCTTCTGCACTCAGTATCACTCTTTGGTTCCTTCCTTCAGGCCACTGAGGGGTTAGCAGCAATACAAGACAGAAATGAAATAATAATAAAAGGAACAATATTCGTGGACTTTTCTCATAATTTTCATCTCTTGAATCTGAAAAACACTTGCAAATACATGCAGTACCACACGGAAGTTCAGGTAACCTATGACAGCCGTAAACAGGCGTGTAACCACACGCATCAGCCCATACCACATACATTACATGAACATGCATACCTTGTAAAAAGAATCCATTGAAAGTAGCACAACCCATGGAACATCTAGTGCTTCAATTATTTTCCTGGCTACAGTTGTTTTTCCTGAAGCGCTGCCGCCACACAGACCTGGGACAGGAAATCGACATAAAGACATTAAGTTGTGTTCGTGTACATGTTTAATGACAAAAGTGTGATTTTTAAACACCTTTGCTTTGTGCAAATATACTTGCACAAAGCTGACAGGGCACTCTACTAAGTGCCTGTCGAGGCTCTTCTAAGCTACTATTTCCATGTAGAGAGGCAGGCAAGAACAATGGCTTTCCTAAAGGCAAACAATCCCATTAACGGGTTAAGGTATTTTCAGAAATCCTCTTTCACAAAACACAGCCCAATGCTTCTTGGTAGCTCGACAGACACACATTTAACTCAGGCAAAATGTCAATAATGACACTGAATGAGCTAGTCAATGACCATTAGCAGTAAAATGGTGATTGCTTATTTCTGCAAAAGACACATGCTTATACAGCGTATCGGTTAACTTTGTGTCCAACTGATAAACATTCCTGAACAAAAGATTCATGTCAAGCACTCAACTCTTTAGATTTTGACTTGACACAGAGCACTTCATCTAATCTGCTACTTTTTTTTTTTACCTCAGTTTGGCAAACGCAGCTTTATAAAGGTGTGTTGGCCCAATATGCTTTTTTTGTTTTTTCAATATTCTGTGATGTAATCATGCAAATTTAAAGGGGAAAACACTCCAGATGAAACTGAGATATACAAAGAAAGAAAGTGTTGTTACACTGTGTTGCACATCACTTTTCAGTTTCCTACCAATGACGAAGGCCTCTTTGGACTGAGTTCCGTGTTCGTTGTACCAGGGTGGTCGACCAGCAGTGTAGATGGTTCGTTTGGAGGTCCGTAGCAGAGGCGGCTCAGACTTACACTGGCTGGTGGTCCTTTTCCTGGGTGAAAGTCCTGTGCTTACTGAGGGGAGAAGACGGTCCAGTGATCCTTCACCTCCACTGTAAATCAACAAACACACAACAGAACATGCGCTCACTGGCTGGAACAAAGAAAGAAATGCTTTTTTTGTTGTTGCTGATGGTGCATATTTCTATATTTAATAGAACTTTGTCCTCAAAAAATGCTGATCTTGGCAAACAGCTCTGCTCACCTTTAAACATGAATCATTTTTTGCCTGTAGGTTTTTTTTTTTTGTTTTTTGCTTGATCATAAACTAAAGCCGGGCTGCAGGGTGGCGCAGTTGGTAGCACTGTTGCCTCGCAGCAAGAAGGTTGCCGGTTCGCGTCCCGATAAACTAAAGCACCATTATTCCTAATAGTTCTATCTTATCAAATCGTATACAGTACAGTAAAATGTCTCTTGGTCACAGTGTAGTAAGGACTGTGATTTTGCTTTGAGGTAAAGTCAGTGATTTTAATCCAATACAGGTTTTGTCTATTTAAGTGAATATCTGTTCATGGTCTGCTAACTGGTCGTTCTATGTGTGTGCTGGAAAAAAAAATCAGTATGTACAGTTTACAGAGTTGAATAGTTTCATTTCTTGCACCTAATGTGTGGATAACTTAAAATGTGTAGAATCTCATTCATACTACTTTTGTAATATTCAGAAAAAGGTGGCTATAATTGTTGCTTCTCTGCAAAAGAGCACTCATAATCCTCTTTTAGGACAGTGGGTGTGGCGACTTAGTTTTCAGTGAGGCAAATGGAGATTTGCAGTTTTTTGACTATAACCCTGGAATAGAATAACTGGAAACCTACTGAATGATTTTTCCGAATTATTACATTATCTAACCGTAAAAACCATTCAACCAGCGAGATGTTTGGATATTTATACAGAAATTCAAACAATTTAGGAACCGGAATGTGAGCAGTAAGAGCCTCGGCAAATGAGCTTTATATAAATGCACATTTATTTACTACAACAAGGCAAGAACTATTAACTACAACACAAACCATAACAATAAGGCATGAAAAGGAATGGACAAAGTGAAGCCGTCTTTCCCGCCAAGAAAAGCACGCCTAGTCAAAAGAGGAACTCTCCTCTTTGACCGACAACAAAAGAACTCAAATTGGTGTTTGAGGTTTTGCATATCAGTAACTCAGGAGGGGATTTATGGGACGCCTGTTGATCAAAGGAGACACGGGTGCCATGCTTGAGGTTGTAAATCTTGTTGGGATCTTTAGTTATCTGTGTGTTACAGTTTTCAAAGTCCCCTTCGTTGTGGGAAACAACAACAAAATGTGAGCAGCAACCGAAACACTGAAAGTTTTGCAGAAGATTTAGGTGCGATAAGGTAGGCAGGCGTGGTTGTTTTGGTGAAGCAATCATTTTAATGACGGCGCTCTCCACCTTGTTCACCACAGCAATCTTCCCCCAACAACAACACTGTCTCTGGTGTTACGCACCGCCCAAGATTGTTGCAATTGGTTTAAAGAAACACAAATATTTTTTCCCTTTGGCAGAAATGAGAATGTGTGTAGAAAGGACATTAAAGCTTGTGCACGTTCATGTTCGTACACAGGACAGACGAAAAGGGAGGGGAAGGTGAGACGAAGAAAAGGGGGCAGTGGGAGCGAAGGAGACAGTAAGTCTGGCACATGCTAACTACCTAATTAGGCCAACTAGAAAAATATTAACCATCTTTTACATAATCACAGACCCCACCTTTAATAAACCACACACTGATTTAAAAAAAAGGCACAACACCATAACACAACCGCTGCTCATTGGTGTGCTTGTGTCAAGACTTGCATTCAATGAAAAAACAATAAGGCAAGGTGTTAACAAGACAGCCACAACAACAGGACACAAATGTAATCCCCATGTTCATTTAAAGAAAAATATCTCTCTCATTAGAGCCTGTTAGATCGTGTCATTGTCCCTCTAGTGACTAATACATGTTGGCATCAAGTGGCAACCTCCAGGGCTGAAAAATGAACCCAATGCTGAAGTGCCAAAAACTACACTTGCTCAAATGGCCACTTGAGGCTGACTTTAAAAGCAAGTCATTCCCCGTAGACCCCATGTTAAAGGTTTACAGCAGAAATAAACATATTTACAATCTAGTAGTTTTGGTCTCTATAGCTAATTTCCTCATCCATGACACTTTATGTGGGGTAAATTTCTATATTTCACTTGTTTAAATTGCATTAAGGCTTAAAATGATGCAAAGCTAAGGGCACGGCCGCTTTGAGCGACAGGTAAATGCTGTCATCGGACCGTCTGTGGCCCAGAGACGTTTGCATGGTTCACCTCAGCTCCACTCACGCGCCTTCTCTTTGCTCATCTTTTGGATAGCTCGGAGTAAGAAAGAGAGAGGTACTGCTGAGCTTCAAAACAGCTCTTCAGAAAACCTGTGGGTGATGTCATGGGGGGTTTGTCCATCTTTATATGCAGTCAATGGTTGGCATCAAAACAAACACAGGCAGACATAATTTTGTCTGTGTAAACACGGGAATGATGCATCAACAGACAAAAGAGATGTGACCCAGTTGACCGACTACAAACAAAACCTAATCAGCATTGTGGTATTGTCCCTACTGTTATGGTTAATGTTTAGTCCTTTACATTTTCAAAAAGTGAACTTTGTCCATCCTTCCATAGAAAAACTTCTGCTGTTGTGTTTGTTGTAGTTGAGATGGGACGACAAAAGCGACAGCTGCTTGACCAGTACAGGTGACTGCCGTGTGAGTACCTATCCCTTCTCCCTAAAATACCTAGAATTAATTTATGTGACAAACTTCAGCTCCTAAAATCCAGCACCACAGCTACAAGATCACTTTCAGATGATTGTGTTTCTGTAGTAGAGAAGGCCTAAACTGTATATTAACTTGATGATTGATTCAACATGATAACATTTATACAATCTGTTGCAGAACTCAACAAGACCACTGTAGTGATGAGTTATCAGAGACAAGAAGATAAGAAGGTCCTCATAAACAAATAACAGCAAGCTCATTCAAAACAGGTACGAGCCTTTTCAGAGAGACAGAGTGAATTTACATAGGCTGTTCAAACTGAACACGTTGGTCACTCCTAACTTTTGCAACACACAGTAATACCGATGAAGAAATTCCCAGTGAGAGAAATGCATGTAACACCCAGTGCAATGCCGTGTGTTTCAAGACCAAACAGTTGCATCCACTTCACTAATGGCTTTTTAATGTTTGGAACAGTGTCTGACAATACACTTATTCATTGCTTGATCCAGAGTAAAAGGGTTTAATTTTGGGAAATTACAAATAGAAAGTGAAGAAGAGACTGAGCATTAACATTCAGTTAATGGTTGTGGCTGATTAAGATTCAGATCAGAGAACAAAGCAGTGGCAGCAAAGAACTGGTCGACACACACTGCTCAGCAGCCTCTTTCTGAGAGCTTCGGTTGAAAAACCTGATTCACTCCTCTTACATAAGTCTAGCTTGCCAAAGTCTGAATCATCTGCAGTGCTTCAGATTTTGGCAACAAAATATTATAGTCTGAAGAAAAAAAAAAAAAACTAGCATAACAAGTAAAAAGTAGCACTAAAAACACCAAGCCATCATCAAAACAAATGCTAACCAGGTAACAGTTGCTAGAAACACTTACTGCATTATCCGAGACATCCACACTTCACCCAGTGAGGACTGCAAAAAGCCAGACGCCATAGCTGCAATACACTAAGAAAGAGTCCTAGATGTTCTATTGTTCCTCTGTTATCCGGTGGACTGTCAGCCACCACATCTTTATATGGGTCATATACTGTACCTCCCCAGGTGGCGCTTCAAGGGATCAGAAGTGAAGCAAACAACAGAGACCAAAGATTTATCTTATCGCTCCGGGGTCACCTAAGCTTGGATGGGGCCAGGGAGTGGACTGAGACAACACACACAGACCATGCATGAGACATGGCTCACTCCTGCTGGGATATCAGTTAAACCCAAACCACGGTGCCATAAAAGATTAGCTTAGCTGACTGTGCTGAATCATGCCCTTGTTCTGTGGTTACACTCGTAGTACTCAGCGCTGCTAAACATTACATACACGCTGTGAATGCACCTTTGTGCAAAGAAACAGCTGGCAAGAGGTCACAGTTCTGGATACCTGAGAAGACATGGGTACCATCCAAGCTCTATGGTCAGCATTGGTCAAGGATAATATTAGCAGTAAATAAGACAGAGTGTCACATCTTATGCTACATGGTATTTGTTTTGCTCTCTCTTAGAAAGCCCTCTTTAGCTTTCTGAAGGTTCTTTGCATTTTCTTTAAGAAGTTGAATTAAAGTGATGAGGGCACAAAAGTTCGCAAAATATTTAAATTCACTTGGTGGACCCCAACCTCAGAAGATAAGTCAAAATTTTCACTACAATTTGCATTAAAACAACAATTTGAGGACTGTTTTGTAAAATGACAACATGATTTGTTCAAAACACGATCGAATCTGATTTCACACACACTATGTCAGCGTACACGCCACATTGGCGTTACTGAGCGACAGATGCAAACTTTCCCACAGAATGCCAAAAAAAAAACCTTAAAGTGCTGAAGTTGTCTCTCCTGTTAAACCACATTTTTAAAAGAACCGCAGACATTTACATCTCACGGAGCAAAAAAAAAAAAAAACACGCTCAGCTGTGTAGCATACCTGAGAATAGTAGGGAAAAGAAAAAAATACAACAGAAATATATAAATAAATAAAATGCACTTACCTGCCATCGGATCTTAGAGTCCAACAGCCGGATATTCTAGCTCCTGAGTAAGCTGGTAGAGAGTTCATAACTGGAGAAAATGTGAGGGAGACTTCCAGTGTGTGTACTCCGCAAGTTGTGTATAAATCCTACACTATTGCCAACAGGTATATTCAGTGCACATACATGTACTCAAACACAGCAACGCAGTTCAGAGCACTGCCCTCTGGTGCAACACATTCAGACAGATAGAGAAGGGACAACATAGAGGGGGGACCGGCTTGGATGAGAAACGAAACTTTGAACATCTGTTTAGCTTTCTGTTTCTCCCATTCTCTCAGTCGGGGGAGAGAGAAGGAACTACAGCTCAGTAGAGAAAGCGCACTCGGTGTGAAACCACAGCACAGCTTTTCCCTCCTCTTTCACTAGCCCTCTGCTCCTCCCCTCAGTCGTCCAGCCAACAAACGTAAGAGGATAACCTACCCTCCAGATTATGTTCATTAGGTGGTATTAATAGCATCAGGTTAGAACCAGACCTCCCCACTCCTCGCATACACACATATATAAACACACATGCCAAGCTTGGGTCATCTGTCTTTGACAGTCAGTGTCGCAATATGCAGCTGGAGGTTAAAGAGGGACCAGAAGAGAACGACAGAGACACAAAGAAACAAACTGGGAGGAAAAAGTAGGAACAGACAAACAGCCGGTTATTATTCTCTGATGTTGACGCAGTTGACTGAATTCACAACAGAGACACTTCAGGCTGTGTAGGGGAGGTGAAAAGACGAACAAATGGAGAGACGAGATAGAGAGAGAGAGAGAGAGAGAGAGAGAGAGAGAAGGTGACTGAGGGGAAGGGCAGAGGGGAGGTGATGTGCTTTTACCCTGCAGGGACTTGCTGTGTCTCTATGTACCTTATACCAAGTCTGGAGACGTCAGCACCATAGCAAACACACACACACACATATACACAAAGCACAGCGTCCCCTCCCTGACTTCACTCAGAGTGAAGACGGGGGAATAAACAGCATGATGAAACCCAACACTGCCACTGCTGCTCTATCAGCTGACAGTTGGAAGAACAGCCCCAGGCAACACACACACACAAACACACAGCGTACAAACACAACAGTACGTGCACACTCCTCCCGGGCCACAACTTGCACAGACAAACAAATCATTATTCCCAGAGTTCAGAGGAGAGAGACTAATTGTTTTCCAGCGCATGAAAAACAAACTACGCACGCCACAGTTTAAGACCCGTATCGCTTAAAGAAGCAACTAGACATGATTTAAACCAATATTTAAAGTATTTTCTAAATATTTGGAGTGCGGACTTGAAAAGAGCTCAGTTCTCTTATACTTCCTCGTTAAAACTAGAGATTAGAAACACAAGGGAATTAAGTGTTTTCCTCTAATCTTCACCGTAGTTTTGAGGACTGTCGCGGTGCAGCCAGAAGACAGCTGCAGAGCAAGAAAGCCACGTCGAAACAAGAAGCTTGAACTGGTTGCGATGCCAAATATTCAACCAGCTCTCTTTGGCTACGCACAGCAGGGTCATAGGCCTGCGATGAAATAATACTTTACTGAAACTTTGACCAAAGCACACTAAGAGAAATGTTAAACATATTAAGTCTGTGGTGTGGAACACAAATCAGTTTGTCTTCAGAGTCTTATGACTCATGTAAACTTCAGCAATGTAATAATTAAAGAACATGAATGCAAAATGGCAGTTGCACTTCAGAATGGCCATAAAGGTATAAAACAGATTAACATGAACCAAATTCCAATTGCTCTGTCTTATCTTTTTAAAAAAAAAACTGGGACAGAGTTATGTAACAAAAAAATATACTATAAATAGGGAAGCCAGAATAACTGGAACATATGTGCAATATATTGCCATTTAACACCTGCACTTTAAAGCTGCAGCTTAATATATTTTTAGAGTTTATATCTTTAAAAAAAAAAGATATACCGCTGTCAAGGATTTGTTGATTCAGCAGCTAGTTTTTGTAGCTCTAGTTTCTATTTGGATTATACCACAGTCACCAACTAAGCGTGCAGCCTATTCATCTTTTCGCTCATTTCTACCGACTTTGCATCATTGAAATGTTGCTTTTTTCTGCAGCTAGGCTATTGTGATGTCAACAAAGTCTTCCCATGTTAAATGCAAGCATGTGAGTATTACTTTTATGCCTCTGATTGTGGGTTCAGACAGCCAAACAGAAACACACTGTGGGCGGATAGATCGGTGCAGTACCGCCTTCCTGTGGCTCGGTGAGGTACTGCAGGCTGATCTCACACAGAGCTGACTAACTGGGTCAATATGACAGCATGACATGTGTATGTATATTCAGCTGCAGCATTATCAGCCACCCAAGTCAAATGCCAGTCTATTCTGTAGCCTTGTACATCCCCTAAGAGGAGGACACACGTCCCAAATAAGCCCATTACTGATGCAGCAGCAGTCCCATCTGAGAACACCATGCCATGCTTTCTCTCCCTTTGCTAAACAAGAGCTCTCCTACGTGTTATAACCTTTACTTTAAGATAGATTTTAATCTCTCTGTGGCTATACGTGTCGCACTTTCAAGCACGTATGCGTTTAGCAATTGAGTGTTTTCAAATACTTATTTGTGAGCGATTTTTTTTTTGGTTTGTGGAAATTACAGTGAAGTTAAGTTTAGGAGGCCATCTCGTCTAAAATAAGACAGCTCTTTAAGTGAGAAAGGGGAGAAAAAAAACACGACAGACTGAAAGTGGGCCGTGTTTGAATGGCATCAGTAATAAACTAACTATTACGCTGTAATTTCCAGGCTGCCGTTACGGATACATGTTGCTTTTATATAAGGCAGAGCTACTGGACCCATTAGGACGTACAATGTGACAAACCGTGTTTCCGTAAAGATGCTTACAGCCAGCTACTAACGAAAATTTGAGGAAAAAAACAAAACACCGCCAAGAAAAACTGTATTATGATTTAAATTGTTTCCAAATAAACCCCCAAACTCTTGACGTTGTACCTGTTCGATACACAAGAAGTTTTCTCTTCGTTGTCCATCTTTGCGAGCCTTTCCTCCACGCTAACGGCAGACATTGCTGCGCTGTTGACAATCAGGTGTTGGGAGTGCAGTTGGCGCCGAGGCATCATGGGACTTGTAGGCGTATCGGATTACACCAGCGCAATGCGCCGGAATCGCCTCACTTTTATGGACTACAAGCCCCAGAAGGAAGCTGATTTTTTTTTAACAACATGTACAGTATTATAATCATGCTGGGCCTTTACCAATGCTGCCAGTGGGTGAGGTTCAACAGGCCACGTGTAGATCTGAGTACACATTTTTTGTCATTTTACTGTTACCTTATTACAAACTAGATATACAATTTTTCTGACCCAGAAACATGAACACAACAATCATATAATAGTAATAACAATGGAAATAACAATCAAATCATAATAATTACAGTAACAACACATAACAACAGCTATCATGCCGGATAATAAAAATACTAATGCAGATAACAACAATGTCCTATCAGGGTTGATCCATAAAGTAATTCAGATTCTAATAATAGCAATAATAGTAATAAAAATATTTATTTAAATAGCTGTGTTTCAACAACAGGCATTTTTCACGTTTATTATTTTTTTTATTTATATGGAGGCAAGAAAATCCCAAGTGTAGGCAATTAATGCAGACTCCCTTTCATTGTTTTAGTTCACAGGCTGGAAGTAGTACTGCCATCATTAATTATATTTTTCACGCACGTCAAAAGTCCACCCTAAGGAAAGTCTGTTAAACCCCAGAAATGCATCCATTGTAACCTGTGCTACGGCAAACAGCTACAGAAACTTTAAAGTTCAAATCTGACACACGTTTAGTCAACAAACTTTTATTAATTAGTTGAGGGATACTAATGCACAGGTAATACAACAAGTTTGGGAGAAAAATTGTAACAGTTCAGACTCAAAGGAGGTGTTGATCCCTCCAATGTTAAGTACTATACAGCTTCATTTCAGATATGGAAATCTTTAATACATCATTAGTCTCATTTTATCTGTTACCTATATGCCATAAACAGTTATGTGCTACAGCATCATCTCTTAAAACTCGCAAAAGTTTCATCACAAGGGGCCCGGCAAACAGAGCTGGACGCCATTTCCTGCTTTTGAAGTAAGGTAGCATACAAAACGAACCACTGTTGTCCAAATAAAAGGGTAAAATTCTTAGGCCGTCTAAGGGGATTTCTAAGGATTAATCTTGGTTTTGGAAATAACATTGCTGACAAAGGGAAGACACTTGAGCCTGCTGTTTCCCCAGGTACAAAAGTCACACCACACACAGTCCAGGTAACTAGAAAGCTCCAACAACACTCCTATTTCAAGCCTATTTCATGGTATAGTAAGTGCACTAAATACAGAAACAAACACACATACATATGCCTTTGTTGTCCCATATTGAATAGATAATAATAAAGGACTCTCTCAATGTGTTTGCCATCATGTACTGAAAAAAGCTCAATTTATGTGCATCATCAAAATGGATAAAATAACAGTGTACGCCAACACACAGGCCTACAATGTTCTCGGTGGTCTACAAATTTTTTCAACTTTTTTTTGTTTTTAATGTTTAGATTTCATAATATGTAAAAAGCATTTTTCAAAGCAAACAAATAAAAGTAGGGGGAGTGAAAAAAAAAAAGCCATACAATTTTGAGAAGACACATCAATATCAAAATATTAGCAAGCCAACAAAATCAGCTAAATATGGTGTATTGCTGTACTCTCTAAACATGTTGCAGTTAGCTCACACTGCGGGATAGATATGTGTTTTCCACATCATAGGAAGACAGATAGTAAAGGGTGTGATAAAATATAAAATACCCACTGTTAAAAGCAGTGCTAAACTATCATATTGCAACACCAAAGCTTGTCAGGTAAACACAGTCAATGTGACGTTATTAATGAAACGAGTAACAAGCAGCTGATGAACTAATTCTGTGCCACAGCGTAACACTTGACAAAAGTGTTACCATTTCTGACATCCAGTCATTACAAAGGTGCTAACTGTTTAATGCACACACGCACATACACGCTCACACTCACACTCTCATACACACACACACACACACACACACACAAGGTCTGGACAACTCATATTGAAAAAGTCCAAGGACCGATCAGTGCTCGTCTAACTTATCCTCTCCATCGACTGAACCTGGATAGAAGATACTGTAAAGGTCCATCCCACTGACAGAGACACATGCATAATCATCCCCATCTGAACTAACTCCATCAGTTGATTAGCAATGGAGGAATTCAGACTGAATCTTTGCTTTACTTTATAAAAAAGTCACAGCGTAGGAATGACACCACCTGGAACACATACAAAATTCAAATTCAATGTTTCTTGAA